CTCGGTGTGCAGGATGGGGGGGGTGCCTTTCCAGCCTGCAGGAGCCCCCGGGTGCCCACATGGGGCTGCAGAAGCTGCAGAGGGCATCAGAGCTGAGCAACCCCCCCTCCATCCCCAGGAGGTACGCAATGTGCCCTATGGGGGATCCCCCTGTGGGGTCAGCTGCCATGAATGGGGCTCAGTCCCATCCTCACCCACACCCCTTTCGGGCAGGCAAGCAGCAGTGGATGCAAAGCACTCGGTCTCCCTCGTAAAGCAGCCGGCACCCCAACGTGCCAAAGCAACACCGTATGCAGGAAGACAACCTGTATGAATTACAAATTGCCTCGCAAAGCCCGATTGCTGCTCCAAAACACTCAGAACTGTTGGTGTACGGGATGCAGCAGCGCAGAGATGGGGGAAAATCCCACCGGGCCCAGGACAAATTCCCTCCTAGAGGTTGGGGTCCTGAAGCCGAGCCCCCATGTCCCCTCCTGCCCCCCGGCCGCCCCTCGCTTGCTCTTTTCTCCCTCCTGCTACGCCCGGCCCATAGAGAGCCTTAATCTATTTATTTCGAGCCACTTCATCCTCTCTCCAGCTTTTGTCCCGGCCTCAGCCTCCGGCTTTGTGGCAGGGCCGCTGAGATTCTCAAAGCCCCTTCCCCTATAGTTTGAGGTCTCCTTGCCTGCCTGAATTACAATGGATAAAACAGGATTACACTGACCCGATCCCATCGCGCCCTCCCTCCGGCTCTGCAAAGCCGCTCGCAGAACTTTCCTCCGGCTCTGAGCAGCCCCGTTCGGGCTCAGAAGCTGCACCAAGGGGCTGCGTTCCTAAAGGACGGAGGGATGGAGAGTTTGTGATGCTCCCATCCCATCAATTAACAGAGCGATAGGAGAACTCGGGGCTTGGGCTCTTCCAAGTGATGCTGTGGCTGTGGTCTGATGCCATCTATCAGGATGTTACCACCCTGAATAAGGGCTGATTTTAAGGCACACGGCTATATTCTTTATTTTTCCCACCGATGAATGAGCTCTGAAGCCCACAACTGCTCTTTCTCCCCCTCCCCAATTATTTTCATATTTCAACATTTCCAAAGCGGCAATAAGTTCCTGCGAAAGAAGGGTAATAGGAAGGCTCTCTAAGAGAAATTGTTAATTTGGGATTTATAAAGGACTTTCCTTAATGAATAATAGTTGAGATCGATCTGTCTTCCTGCCTCATTCTGCAAAGTAACATTTGTAAAGCGAGCTGATCCCAATTACTCCCTCTAATAACTGTCTCCATTCGGTGAGCGGTCTCCGAGGGACGGTGCAGAAAAGCCCCTCTCCCGTAGTGCTGCCTTATTTGAGGTCTTCCAGGCCCTCATGCCTCGTGTTCCCCTTCTCCCTGCGTAGCTCAGCTCTCACACTCAGAGGGAGGGATGCACAGTCCTGGGGCTGCACACCCCTGTGGGGCTGCAGGGAGGGATGCTGCAGCCGAGAGTGGGTTTGGCCACGCTCAGAGCCTTCTCCGGCTGCTTTGACGTTTCTTCCCTTTCATCTCACCCCACACTTTGGCAAAATAAATACCCCCCCTTTGTAATGCCTTCGAGCGGCCAGAGGGAGCTGAGAAGGGGATGCTCCGGGTGCTGGAGATGGGGAAAATCCCATCATATTTGTTCACCTGGCGTGAACCTCGGCGCGGCAGCCAATAAATAAATTGGAACCATCTCCAGACCTGATTAGCTTGCTAATTAAGCTCAGTTACAGGGAAATCGGCAGTCCATCAGCCTGCCCGTTACCAGGTGGATGTGCGGAGCAACAGGCGAGGTACAGAGGAAAGGCTGCACCAAAATCTGCTCTCACAGCGCCCAGAGGAGCTCACTCAGACGGGGCAGCTGACAGCCTCTGTGTCCCCATGGGGATGCAGCTACCCGTGCTCGTGCAAAGGAAGGCTCAGGTTGGATATTAGGAAGAATTTCTTCTCAGAAAGAGCCGTGATGCAGTGGCACAGCTGCCCAGGGAGCGGTGATGGGATCACCATCCATGGGGGTGTTCAGGAACCACGGGGACGTGGCACTGAGGGATGTGGGCAGTGGACCTGCTCCTCCGATCCCTTTGGCTCTCCTCATCCTCTCTTTGGCCAACACAAGGAGCTTCTCTGGCTTAAAAACAAACAGATCCGGAAATGGAGGAGCGCAGATTGGTCAGGGCAGTATGCAAATAAATACGTGCTAATTGCTGGCAGCAGCGTTGCATGTCAAGTGCAGTTATTGCGGCCACATTTATTGGCCAATTAAGGGCTTTACTGGACATTAGGCGAGATAAATTACTGCCTGGTGGGTTTTCCAGTCCTATTGCTGATACAAAGTGGTTTGTGGTTTTCCTATGGCACGTCTGGAGGTTTCCCCAGCAGTAATTGCATTTCCCTCGGACGCCATGCAATCCCTTGCTGGTAAATCGTGCAAGCTGTGCACTGCAAAGCCACCTTCTGGGGGAAATTCTTCACTCAGAGGGTGGTGAGGCCCCAGCACTGCTGCCCAGAGAGCTGTGGGTTACCCTGGAGGTGCCCAAGGCCATGGATAGGGCCCCGGGCAGCCTGAGCTGGTGGGGGGCAACATCTGGAGGAAAGTACCTCATGGTGAGGATCTCTGATTGATTTGAGGCTCCTCTACCTGATTTTATGCGACTACAAGGGCTGCTCTGGAAGTAATGGCTCCCGTTTTATGGTGTCAGCCCACAGTTCAGAGGTGGATGCTGGTCGTACAGCAGTAGAGGCTGAACCTTCCCACTGCAACCCATGATGTTTTGTTGCCGTGCGACTGATGGCAGCAGAGGCTGACAGAATGGCACCTGACATGGAAATGCACGGGAAGCGAAGGTGTGTCACTGAATTCCTCCATGCAGAAACAAATGGCACCTGCTGACCACCACTGCTTGATGGAGGCCAAACAGTGGATGTTGATGCGGTGAGGCAGTGGGTGGTGCGTGGCCAAATATGAGTAAGAAACAGCACAACAGACAAGGGGATGGTTTTAAATGAGAGCTAACAGCATGCAGTACCTCCGATGTAGGAGTCTTTGGGCTCCGGAACAGGTTTCTTGAGTGACTGCTCCCAGGATCCATCAAAGCAAAGCCTTTGTAGGCATGGGTGGAAACACACAGCAAGGCCTTATGGCAGTCTGGTCCCCACAGTAATTACTGCTTTGTTCTTTGAAAAAAAAAGAGAGAGAAAAAAAAAAGAAAAGAAAAAAGAAAAAAAAAGGGGGGGTCCCCCTGCTCCTATTAATGGAGGCAATAGTTTACCTTCAAAATCTCTTTCCGACCTCTGTTGCCTTCTAGTAGAATATTTCCTTTTCTTCTCAGGCATCTGTGAATGCCACCAGCTGAGAATGTTCCAGGGGTGCGTGGGGGTGGGTTTGGGGTAGGTGAGAAATGAAATGAAAGAGCTGTAATGCTGCTCAGCATCCCCCCTCCCTCCAGTGCCTGCATCTCCCGTGGGCATCTGGGTCCCAGGAGGTGGTTAGCAGGAACAGGCAGCCATGCCCATCACCAAATGAAACACTGCACCCTTTACAAGGGGAGGACTGGTGATGGCTGAGAGAAGTGGCTCCACAGCTTTACACACTGAGGAATCCAAAATTCCAAGTCCCTTCATTGAAAGGTAGAATGCAAAAAGCACCCACCTCCTGCTTGGGTGATGGTTTGACACATGATGGGGTTAAACATGGTGGAAAACCTTGCAAGAACAAAGCGGGACAGTTGCTGCATGACAGAACAGTGATGTAGACCCAAAATACACAGAAAAGGGAAAAAAACCCAACAAACCACAAGCCGTCCTGCTGTTTTTCATCCCACCACTGCTGGTGCGGCCTCCTAGGAGCACTGAGAATTAAAAAGCAGGAAAGAGGAAACCTCACCAAACCCCAATCAGATCCCCCATGTTGGTCATTGGATTAGGAAAAGGTCATAGAATCACAAAACCATTCACCTTGCCCAACCCCAACCATGCCCACATCCCTCAGTGCCACATCCTCACTGTTATCAAACACCTCCAGGAACGGTGATTCCACCACTCCATGGGCAGCTGTGCCACTGCAGCACTGCTCCTCCTGAGATATCCCCTAATATCCAACCTGGAATGTTCCCCATCTGCTCCTCTCCACGGTTTATTCCATAGCTGCCACATCCCCCTCTTTACATCTCATCTAGAAGGAATTTCCCCGCTCCTCCAACCTCATTCCTGAACATCCCCAACTTCTTCACGGCATCCTCACGGATCTTCAGCTCCTCCATTTTTCTTCATCCCCACTGCATGTGAAGCCACCTCTTTTGTCCCATTAATGGGCTGAAGAAGAAAAGACTGGATGTTACTCGCTATTCCCTCCGTCCCAGAGCATCTCTGGTCACAGCCTTCTTGCACAAGGGCTGTTATAGAGCACCCTTCGGGCCTGCTGAGATTCCCTGTATCTCTTCTCATGGTGCACGGGCAGAGATCTTTGCAAATGTAAATAAAAGTCAACCGGTTGCCCTTTGCTCGGCGCTCACGGAATCGTAATGGAGAGCCGTGATTTTCCTTCAAAGAAGTGATTAGACCATACCATACCATGACCTTAAAGATGCTTTATTATTCTTATTTTAAATGATCATTTCAACCAATTTAGCAGATACAGATGTAACCGTTACTGGCCTAATTCCTTGGATCTCCTCCAGAGACTCTTAAAGCCGAGGTGCAACGTTTACTGCTCTCCCCTCCTCGGGGAGAAGGGCTGTTTTTAATGAAAGCCCACGTATTTTTGCTGGGAGATCTGTCACTTAGTTCATAAGCGCTTTCAGAACTCTTAGATATACACCATTACAGTCCGGTGACTTATTGCTTTTTAATTTATCAATTTGCACCATTCCCAGCTCTTCTGACATCCCAGGTCTCGGATCATAGTTCATCTTTATTGCTGGCGAGGAGTGACAGTATCTCATCATTAATACTGGTGGAGCAGGGCTGGGGCAGGTGTCCCTCAATAACACTGCAAAGAACAGAGCTGTGACGAACAAGTTTTCTTGTCTTTATTAGAAAGAGACCATACAGTATAGCAGTCTCCCTCTGTGGTACTTTACAACTTGTTTGTTTTTAATTGCTTTTTTTGTTGTTGTTTAATTCGGAATACTGTACAGCTGACACGAAAAACCTCAATGCGAAGAGGGAGGAAAGGGAAACATAATACAAACCGGCATACGTAATCAAAACAAAATCATATGAAACAACAAGCAAAGTGAAATGTTTATCAATCGTTTTAATTACAGTACAAACAATATAAATAAAGCATCGAGTCATTGTAAAACAAACTTGCTGAATGAGGTAATATAAAAACAACAACAAAAGACGTATTTTTTAATAATTTCCACACTGTCTCGTCATCATTTATACATTACTATTTACAGAAACAGAAAAAAAAACAACCAACCCAACCCAAACAAACCTTGCTCTAAAGCCTGCCATGTGCTAGGTATCTCTGCCTCTACCCCAAACGCAGTTCTCAGGTGACCCTACTCACCTGGGTGCCCTTCCTCCCTGTCCTAACCAGAAACACAAGCATCACAAAGCAAAAAGAACGCAACGACACTGGGCTGAGCACCCCTAAACACCGAGTCCGGCCTTTGCATCAGTCGTGGGTGTAAGGGGAGAAATGGGGCACACGTCCTGGTGGTGATGGCTGACACCCAACCGTGACCTTTGTGCATCTGAGCCCAGTTCTGCCTCTCCCAATCAGCCCTGGATTTGGTAGCGCCCGTAAGGATGTGCTGAAACCCTGGCCCAAGCTGCCCACCAGTATGAGCTTAACTGAAAGCAAGAGTAGAGATGCTGTGAGCACACAGGCTTCCCTGCGCTGCTGGTACACATGAGGGCTTAGCACACATCAGCTGATGGTTATGGCTCCCTCAAAGCACCATGGCCACAGACACCTGGGTAAGGATGAAGAGGTGCCCTGCTCCTCACCAACCACGTCTCCTTCCCCTGTAATGCTGTGGATCAGGAAGGACCCAAAACACCATTGGATCTGCTGCAGGAGGGCAGTCGCTGAGCCCACGCTTAAATTCAGCTGCAAATTTGAGCAAACCTATAAAAAAGATAGGGCCTCTGGGAAGTAAGTCTTATATCCTTAGCCCCATCCACGTCTCCTCCCCGTGCCCACAGGCTGCTGGGCTGCAGTTCCCATCCCAGGCAAAGCGGCCAGTTCAGTCCCACTTTCAGAATTCGAGTTGTTGCCATCTGAATGAGCTCAATTTTTGCTCTGAGCCAGGTATCTTTGTAAACCCCGAGCTTTCCAGAGCCAGCTCCTGCATCTCCCTGCCCCGTGTGGCACCGTGCAGCCCTCCTGTACTCCTGGAAATGGCTGGCCTGAGCCAAATTGGGAAACGTGTCATTTATAAACACCAAACTGAAAACCTGGCTCCAGCTTCAGGCTGTGACTGATGTGTAAATGTGTGCGTGGACACTTAGAGGATGGCTGATAGAGGTACGTTGAGCACATATGTGTATACATACACACACACACAAATGCAAAGCACTTTTAGTTAATCTGGTTAGCGACATCCATGCAATACACTGCTTTACCTTAGGACTTCACTGCACTTGATGACCAACTCAGCTCCATCACTGAGCTTCTAGATGTGGGAACTAGCTGACAAACTGCACCCAGAGCCTTCCTCAGTACTGCCCGGGCTTGGGGCTTGCCTTCAGCACAGCATCACTCCCTCCATCTGGCAATCAGAGACCACGCTTCCAGCTTCCTACGAGGCACCGGGGCTGCTCTGAGATTCCCACTCAGTTGCCCTCACACTATTTAGCTACCCTAACAACAGACAGAGGGAGGTGGGAAGGACAGAAGGATGAGTTCTCAGAAGCAAAACACACTGATCAGTTCTGCAGAACGTGGCACACACAAAAGAGCGGATGGTGCATTCAACTGCCAGCAAGCAACACGGTCATCCCAAAGGCATGCCATTAGACCTTGATAAGCCCCCCACCCCCCTTCACGCTTTGTACATAACACACAGGTAAACATTACTAGCTCCAAAGCATCGCAAAATAGGCAACTCTTAGGACTGGAAGCAAAAAACGCCCCGAAGTTCATGGCCAAGAGAAAGCTGAAGCACTGCACGTCAGCAGGACCAACTGCTACTGCCTGAATACGCTGCAGGGATTGAGAGAGGTGAAAAGCATGAAGATAGAAAGATTTTTCCTCCATTTGCCCCCAAGAAAGGTCCCCCAAGCACTCAGGGAACAAGAGCAAACTGTGGGAGTTTATTCAGCCTGAAATGAAACACAGGGGCCAAGATCACCAAAAGCATTAGTGGTTTGGGGCTGAGGGTGGCACTGAAAAAAGTCATCTTGTTTTCAGAGATCATGCAACCCTTCCCTCAGAATGAGACCTACTGACAGCTCTGAGAATCTCAGCCAAAACTCTCCTACCCCCTGTTGAAAATGCAAGACATATTCAGCCAACTCAAAGGAACCGCTATGAGATGAAATCACCAAATATTCACTTTAAAAACTGGCCCATGATAAAAAAAGCAAACAAAAATTAGAACAGATTTACCTACCTACAGCTTTGGATTGTTTGCTCTATTCCGTACTTGTTCAAACAGGAGATGTCCTTCTAATAAAACCATTTAAACCACTGTTGGTTTTGGTAACTTACAAGTCAAAACTCTTTGCAGATCCTTTTAATCTGTGGCATTGAGTTTGCAATGCAGCAAACACAAGAATAGCCAAAGATGTCCTACAAGAAATCTTACCCACAAATGGGCTGAAATGGAAGATGTTCAACAGAGGATCCGAGACTAACAGACAGAGATCTCCCGTGTGCTAACAGCTGTAGGAAGGATAAAACAAAGCATCCTGATGATGAAATGTGAACGGGCAAGTCCTCACGCATCCAGACCAAGTGCCCCACGTTTGGTCCCCAGCACTCTCCTTCTTCCCCTTGGGTACCTCCAAGTACAACCAACACCCGTTCCCTGTTAAGGTGCAAACACGGCTCCCCGAGACATTTGTGAAGGGCCCTAAGGAACCCTCTGTGAAATCTGTGCTTGTCTCCACTATTACTACTTTACACTAGAAACTACAAATTACTTCATTTTTCCCGATCTCCATACAAATATAAAAGATGAAGCTATCTGAAAACCGTATCATCTAATTATACTACATTACAGTGCTGGAGATCATTGCTAAGAATGTATCTGCACTCACACCTCTATTCCCTTCTTTACATTACACAGCTTCTTCTTGCCAGGGGAAATCTCCAAGTGCAGCTAAAGCTCCGTGCACTAACACACATAATTTAAGGAAATGGGGAAAGACAGCAGAGTAAACAGTATTCATGTTTACACGGTTATTATACACTACACCCAAGTAGAAATGCTTACAAACCCTCTCCTCCTTTCAACTAGCTCTTTTGGTCTCCTCAGCTTGGGGTATACCAAGATTCTCCAGAAACAGCTTTTCTTCTGCTCCCTTTTAGCAATGAAACCAGAAATCTGGCAATGGGAACCCTTGGCCAAATCTCTGAACTGGCAAGACTATATTTGCCCAAGAAAATAGTAAGGAATAAGTAAAACCCTCTTGAACTCCTGGCAGGTGAAGGTTCAGTTGCCAGATTCAACGCATTTGGCTCACCTCTGCTCTTCAACAGCAATTAGCCCGATGGAAATAGAAGAAAAGTGCTGACGTTAACAGCAAACACTTCCATCTAGTGTTTTAGTCACGGTGGATAAAGTGCAGAGGAAGTGGGATTTAAAAGGATCTGGGATCACAAAAAGGGTTCAACGCTGAGAAACACGGCCACAATCTCCATTCCCTCAGACAACGCTAACGGATTTAGTCAGTGCATTTCTGCTGGGATCTCTTACTGACTGGATTTCAATTCGTTTTCAATTTGCTCCTCACGTGCTCGAAGGGGCGTAAGCAGCCCGACAAGTGGGTTCCGTAAAAGCCACAAGAGGGGGGGCTGAAGGCAAAACGAAGACCTGAAAATGGACAGGTTAGAAGACAGAACAACTGCTGCCGGTTCTCAAAGCCTGCCTGTCTCTGCACCTGGATGGCTTCAAGAACACCCTTTGCAAAGCACAAACGCATCCGCCTGGAAAGAGCACGGAGTCCCGAAACCTCACGGCACGAAGCCAAGGACAGCGGGACTCGGCTGATGGAGTTTTTCCCTGGGGAAGCCAAGCACGGCCCATGAGAGCACTGCTTTGACATCATCACTGCCAATGCTGATACGTCCAAGGAAAACCTATGTTTAAGTTAAAAGCAACTGTGTCACGGATTAGTTAAAGTATGAGGTTATTAGTTGGCTAGGCTTGATACATCATTTTTCCTATAATACAGCGGAAGTTCCTTTCCTAAAAAAATCCTGTTTTCCAAGGTTCACCTGCAGAATTCTTCTAATGAAAGGAGCGTACAATTCTTCTACCTGAAGCCTGCACGACAGCCTGGCTGCTGTCCTTGCTTCTCACATCTCACACTCAGAAAGGTGGCCTAAAGAGAGCACTTCACCTATGTACAGAAAATATTTTCAATCAGGACAAAAAATAAGCTCTGAAATGGAAGAAGCATTGAGAACTTAACCGCGGCAAAATTTGCCTACAACGTATTTGAAACATTGGACTTGATTTTCCAAGAGAAACACGCTGGCTGTTCCCAGGGGAACAGCAGGCAGCCTGCACGTCTGGGAACATGTGCTGCACTTCCCCAGTTTACACCATGCCCCCTGGAACGGGTGGAAAGCTTGTGAGCACCAAGACATGGGGGCTTGCAGCATCCCACTCAGCTGAACCTTCAATGGGCCGTCCTGTCACTGAGGGACCACCCATCACTATCAGAGCTGCATGGGAACGATTGGAGAAACAGCAATTATCCCTCAAAAGTTAAAAAAAAATAAAAAGTAAAAAAATCCTAGCGTGCACAGAATCAGATGTAGCATTAATCTGATGCAGCCAGTCTAAGCTGGATGGAGAAAGACCCCCTCTATGGTCAGAGGTCAGTACAGTATCAAAGTACGGAACGACAACAGCACAGAACAGGGAAAGCCAGTCAGTATTCTCAAGTTTTATGATTTGATACCCAACCTGTAATTTTCTCTCTCTTCCTTAAGATACTCAGAATAATTTTTCTCCTTCTCATTTTGCATCGACCTATATTTTGTTTAGCAATTGCTATCGTCCTCCCATTCGTATGTCAAGCGAAATACAGAGCCCCAAGGAAAAACAACACTGAAGGCTTGGGAAATACATAAGGAGCAGGTAGATTTCCAAATTACTATGCTGTGTGTACCTCACTGACTTCACATAATTGCTCCTTTGCCATCTAATTCAGTTGAGTTTTCAACTTTCTCCGTGATACACCCTTCCCCCATCTCCACATTGCCATATGCCACTTAAAAACTACTTTTCGGTCTGCCAAAAAATCATACAGCCTGCTTCCCTGTGCCAGAAACCTGGTTTTGAAGCAAATGGCACAAGCCAGGATCTGTCTGGTAATACAAACAATAATAATAATAATAAAACAATAAAAATCAAGTCAAGTAGTAAAACCTGGAACTCAAATGAACTGCCCAGGCTCCTTTCAACAAGCCCTTTTTCTCCCAGGTTCAGAGGTAGGGCAGCCATGCCCTGCCCGCCTCGGTGAAGGCTATCAATCCTGAAACTAACCCAATCTGATCTGCACGCATCCAGACTATGGCTTTTCGTCTTGGCCTGTGAAAGCGTCGTGACTTCTGAAGTAAAATATATTTACAGTGCTGAGAAACAGCCTCTTTTCCTTTCTAAACGGTCTCATATATATATATACATACTTTTTTCATGCCAAGCGTGCCATAATCTCATTCTGATATGTTCCTCAAAGGCTTGCAATGGAAACAGAGTTCACTGCTGGGGATATTTTCAACATACAGTGATCCGGAATCCACAGATCCTAACTAGTTGCACATTATTTAGTTCACATCCATTACAGTTTATAAATTAACAGAGGTGTCATTTTCTGTACAAAAAAAAAATCAATGCATATTTATGATTTTTTTATTCAAATAGATTTTACATACATATAATCTAAAGACACAATACAAAATCTGTATAAGTTAGGCAATGCATCACAGGAGTGACCAAAAACTCAACACGTTTACCTTGGCAAAATGACAGAACGTATTTCTGCTGGCTGGAAAAATATTAGCCTTTAATGCATTTATTAATTTTACTAAACGTACTTGAAATGCTTTTCCTTAGCAGTATTCATTATTCCTTTTTGTGTTTCATAGTTACTCTTATTTATTTTTTCCATTTTGTTTTTACACCAAGGAGACTGCAGTCAAATAACACTCAGCAACTCATTTCCTCTCTTTGGACTGAAAAATTAAACAGATACTAAATTATGACAGTGAATTTAGAAAGGAGGGCTCCAAGGGCTCGAAAGAACATGTCTGAGATAATATGATGCTTCTAAGAATATTGCAATCACATCCAAGCAATCACCGAAGCGTGCCATGTAACTACCTCCTCAGCTAATATGCTTTTTTCTCCGTGATGACTAATCATGTTCTATTAAACAGCGGTAATGCTGGAAGAACTCAACTATACAAGTGTAATGAAGCCAGTATTCTCCCTGGACAGATTAGCTACAACTGATTTGACACATACCATCATAGGAGCTTCAAACCTGACAAACTCTGTGCTTGCTTCTGATTTATGCCGTCAAGCTCTTCAGAGAAGAGAATGAAATCCAGCCGTTCCGTTTGGTAGAGGTGAAATGTACTGATGTGCTTAACTGTCAGTTATGGAAAGTTACCATTTCTTCTTTCTTCTCCTCTCGCTCCCGCTCTCACCTCCCTCCACCCCTGCCTTCTGCACTTGTAGAGCCTGTGCCCAGGGACAACTGTCCCCATGGTCCCGTGCCACGCGCCGTGTCCTACAGAACCCACGTGCTCTCGCACGCTTCTGCTGTCCCGTTTCCATCGTTCGAGAGCTGTCACTGAAACAACTGCTTTCTCTGCAGCCCCTTTCGCTCCTTCTCATCCCCTCGTGCTATCCAGATGTGCTGGTTCTGGATGGGACAGGGATGCACCGAAGGGTAAAGGGAAAAGGGAAGTTATTGGACTCACAGAGCAGAGCCGTGATGGGAATGGAGGAATATGAGGCCGCGGATGTAATTCAGGTCAGCGAATACACGAGTGAGCTCCTCAGATGATGGTGGGCATCCTTCCACTGCTGTTGTTCCGGTTGTTGTTCTTCCTGGACAGATTCGGAGTGGCCATGAGGACGAAGCGCTCGTCGGGGCAGCCGTACTGGAGGAGAACGTCAATGCACTCCTGGCTCGAAGCCTGCCTGGCGTAGGCCAACGCGGTGTTCCCATGGGCATCGCGTGCCATCACGTCAACGCCGTACTGGAGAAAGAAGAGACGCCACCTGAAGCTCTGATGCAGACAGAGAGTTACAGCAGAGGGAGCGAGCTCAGGCCAGGAAGGCTGGAACTGAGCTGAGGTTGGTGAAAGGGAGGGGAGAGAGAGGGAAGTGAGCAGAACGTTGGTGACTTACACACAGAAAGGTTTCTACGGGGAGGGTCTTACAGCTGGAACAAAATTTGTCACCGAGGTATTTCAAATGGCATTTCCAATAGGTGCTAAGGAAATCTCTCCTTCCTCATTCTGTTGTTTACTTTCTACCAATGGCAACAGACGAAAGGGGGGTAAGCTACCATCCTTACAGAGCGTGCAATGAGCAAGCACTCACCCAGATCAGGAGCTGCACCAACACCACGTTTCCCTTCCTGCAGGCCAGGTGCAGGGCCGTGCGCCCATCGCCGTCTCCGCAGGTCTCATTCACCTCCTCCCGCGTGCCGTGGGCGAGGAGCAGGATGACCGTGCGCAGATCTTCCTCGGCTGTAGCCCTCAGGAGGTGTTGGCCAAGAGAAAGTTCCAGGCACTGCAGCGGGGCAAGGAAGAGCTTCTGCTCGTATTTTGCACGTATCCAGCGCTCTTTTTCCTCCCTAGAGAAGCCAAAGGGAATACGTCACTCCGGCCTGGCTTTGCTGCCTACCAGCATGCTAGCAAATAGCCATCAACAAAAAGAAAGCAAGAAAATAAATCAGGCAGATGGTGTCCACGTTGGAGTTAAGGTGTGCAGCAAAACACAGTACAGAAAATGTACAAAATGTCCGTGTTTGAAACCTGAAGTGACCAGCACGGCACTGACAACTCCCAGCCACCCCTCCTGCACCTGGGCTTGCATTTCACACAGCAGAACAACCCCTGCAAGGCACAGCCTTGCTTGCAGAGGTGCTCCCTCTATCAAAAACTGAGTCATGTTTCCCATGCAAAAGACATATGGAGGATTCTTCTGTTTGTTTTTCCACAATGCAAACTATCAGAACAGTACTTTGAAGCCGCCATTTCCTCCTGAAACGTCAAATAACTATCAAAAGCTTTCTGGATGCTATTATGTTACAGGATAAGGAGGACTACAAACAACCGTTTCAAAAATTAACATACAATTATATGATCTAAGAGATCTAGCCCTAGACAAAGCCCCATTTGAAGGTACCTGTCCAGCCTCTGAAAACCATATACATCATCTAGCAAGGCAACTTGTTACTGGTGACATATTTTTTCCTCCGGAGCACAAAAGGAAAAGCTCTGTTTACGCCTTTCAGCACTGTTTACACTACTCCCAGTAATCTAGTGTCAGGTTAGCCCTAATCTGTTTTTAAATACTTATGTAAACAGATCCTTCCAACAGCAAATCTGGATTAGTTTTGCATCATTTCCTGGTACATGCGGAGCGACCTTACTGTGACCTCTCTGGATGCTCTCATGCAGAGCTTCCCAAAGCATGCTCTTCTCTGCACCAATGACAATCCACCCTACAGACAGGTACAGGTTTTTTCAGAGAAAAAGTGCAAACAGATAATTAACACAAAAAGCACTGCGCTTAAATTAAACCTTTGAATGACTCCTGCAAGCTAAAAGGCACACACACAAAAGAAAACATTTAGGGGACCGCAAATTAACCTTTGATGGCAGGATCTGATAAACAGGATCAGTTCAGATACTCAAGATGGAGAGGAGAAAGAAAATGACTTCTGTTACCACTGTGATCCTTAACTCCTCTGTTAGCTGTGCTGTTTTAAGGTAAAAATACAGTGGCAGCGCTTCGAGGAGGTTGAAGTGACACACTTACAGTTACTCACAATAAAATGTGCACTCCTGCAGCATCACAGCACCTCTAGGACCAGAACCCAGACAGCGTTTAATAAAGCTCTTGTCAGTTTTTTAAGTACGTATTGAGGTTTTGAGAGTGTAACCAATACACCCACTCCACATTTAAACACGCCAGACTGAAAAATGAAGCGACTGAGTCAGCCCTGTTTCACACCAGTGGCACATGTCCGGGCTGAGGGGATTTATTTCTCATATGCCCACAGACCCAAAAGGCAGAATATACTTCATTTTCTGCCTGCATCGTAACTACCACAATCTTTTTAGTGCTGTTGAGTCTGCAAACAAATCCCCTCCCCATCTTCACAGACCACCTCTGAGCAACTTTAGCCTCCAGCTGCCATATGACCACGGCTGGAAGAGAAGACCCTCCTGTTTAAACTCAAGCTATGTGACACCAGTCTCCCACCTCTAATCACTATCCATCACAAACTATTCATCATAAAGTACTCTGTGGAAACAGAGACTTCAGGTGGAGCTTTTAGAGTTTTAGGCTGTTGTTTTACAAATTTGTTGCAGCACACCTGCCCTGTGCTTCATGGGAGCAGTGCAAAGGCAAGCCAGACCAAGTGGTGGGGAGAGCATCCCCCAGATTCCAGTGCTGTGATGGGAACACAGTGAACACTGCCAACAAAAACAGAGATGTTTTAAAAGTCTCAGACATTTGGGGGCAGCATGTCACTGACATTGTCTATGGAATGAGATTTAGATTCTATTCAACTGTTCAAACTGGGTACAAGGAAAGATAAGTTGTTGGGTTTTTCTCACAGACAATTACACTAAATGACAGGAGGAGGTATCTGAAGGTAGGAGGAGGAGCATGCTTGCCCATACCTTGTGGGCTGATACAACAGAAATTCAGAAGGACCAGCTCTGAAACATATTCTAGAAAGCCATCACCCACAGACCTCCTCTCTCCATTTCTGGCACAAACCATTTCATTTCAAATGACTAGGGGACTTTCTTGGACAACAGCTTCAGCTCCACCGCATGCATCCATCTTAGAACCTGACAACACAACATAAATGCACTCTGATGCCACAATCTCACTCCTGGGGTCCACAGCCCGCCTTGGTTGAGGTTTCATATCCCCATAGGAAGGCCAGTCCAAGAGCAGAGTTGTCAGCAGTAGATCACTTGGCCTCATTCCAGTCCCCTGGAGGACCACCGTTCACATCCCCTGTTAGCTAATGAGCTAAAAAATGAATTATTGGAGCGGTCAGCAATAAGAAGGAAGAGGAGGCACAGTGTTTCGCTTCAGCCAGCACTGACATACCTTTAAATAAATCAACTGAATAAGAGTACAAGGAAATGAGAGGAAGAGCAACTAATCAGCAGATACTGAACCAATCTCCAAAAATAAAGGGAATGTATGATTAAACACCTCCTAGTAAATATTTCTCTCATTTTCCTCCTTTTCTTGTAATTCTGGTAACTTTCACTCTAAACGACACCCTCAAATATACAGTCTCAGTTCTAGCTGTCTTCACGTGACATCCGTAAGCCAGAACAAAACTACTCCACTTACTTACTGAGCTACTAAAATTCAGCAGAATCCCTTTTTCAAGATCAGAGTAAAGTCAGTGTATTGGAGAAGCACCATCATCAGGTGCTCGGATGGCACCTATGACACCGAATGCTAGAGAATGTGTGAGCTGCCAGTTTTTTAATGCAAATGCACAGGTGAATTAGAGGAACTCCAGAGTAACAGATGACAAATTTATAGAAAGAAGAATGAAAGTCAGATTGGGCTTTGTTTGAGCTTTCTCTTTCTGAAGCTGTCCATTCAAACTCAGACTTCTGAGAAAAGCTTACAAACTTTCTGGCTATACAAGGGCCAAATACAAGAGGGTAAGACTGCAAAACATCCTGCAGGAAAGGAATACAATTCACTAAGCCCTGGCCTAAAACCATCACTGAGCTCTGCCAAGTCTCCATCACTGGTACGAATAATGAAAGCCCTGATAGAGCAGTGATACTGTACATAGGTAAGAGTTATTAGAAACAGATGAAAATTTCACTTCTCAGTTTATTTTCATCTCATTAGGTGCTTGCTTCTCAAGATAATGTCCAATTATTTAAATTACTCTGCCAGCCACATCACATCATTATTATCTTGAAACATAAATACTGGGCACTGTGAGGGGGAGGGTAGCATGAGAGAATATAAAAGGCAGATTTGCTCAGAGCACAGTTTCCTTTCAGACTACTCTTCACTCTTTGCTTGTGAGCTTGCACCAGAGATGCTCATTTAGGAGCTTGGCCCTGTGCAGCTCAGTCCAGAGCGGTGCCTGGCTCACCCATCTTGATGAGAAGTGTTAAATATTTTCTTCTCTCTTACTAAAAAGAACTATGCTGCAATAGAGGAAGCCTCTAAATGCTCTCTCTACTGCCATTCACCCAAACGTCTGTGCCGTGTGGGTGCCATGCTCGTGTGCTGCCATTTCTGGATGCTTACTGAAGTGCAACGTTTAACGCGGCAATAACCTGGCCGGCTCAGCAGGAGAACTGCCAGATTTTCTCTGCTGTTGGACAGCTGACAAAGTTAATGTGTCTGTTCCAACAGAATGAAGTAAATCTAACTCCCATAGCTCCCAAACTCTGGGAGCGTCCCAGAGTATGTCATTAACTTTGTGGTCCAGCATGCAAGAAGCATACATCACCTAATGACCGGTGCAGCCCTGCTGTCAGGGCTGGGTGGCTGGTTGTGGCAGGGCTTGCCATTTAAGGAAAACCCTTTGCAATGATCCCACAGATGTCTGATAAACAGCATCACTTTGGTAAGAGTTGGCGATGCAGCGTTGTGATGGGTAAAAGGGAAGCGAAACATTTGTGGGGGAAAGAACTGAAAAGTTTGGGAAGGTTCATGATGCTTTTAATTGCAACTTGCAAAGGGAAGAGGGGAGATGAAGAGAAAGCAGGAAGAAAGGGCTAGCAGCAAGGAATTTCCAAAGTGTCTTCCTGTCCCAAGCAAAGCAGGAACTGGGAGGAGAGGCATGGAAGAGGAGTTGGGAACAATATGCTGAGAAAACACAGGGGCTTCCTCTCTCTGCAGGAGAAGACCCCACTCTATTGCAAAGGGAGTGCTTAGCAGTTGACTGCTTCCTAGCATGCATGCCTTCTCTCCCAGGCTGCGTTGCTAAGGGGGAAGGCGCATGGGCCCACGAGGGATATGTAGGGCCCTGGAAAACAAGAGGGCTCCAGACAGCAAACAAAGACCGATGGCTATTTATTCCTTAATTACGGAAAGCTTTCAAGAAGCAGGCCACTGTAAATCCCACGTACCGAGAGAAGGAGGCAAAGAACCAAGATTTATGTGCACCGGGGCAAAGAGGAAATAAATATCTCCCTGGCTCCTGATCAATATTATGAGTGTTTTGCCAACCAAAAGGGTGTTTTATGAGCTGTAAGGACAGAAAGGGATCATTAATAATTAAATAAAGTCAACCTATTAAGCTTATTACTTCTTTACAAGTTAAACAACCCCAACGGATGTGAGTGGCCCTATGGCACAGCCGCAGCACAGCCACCATGACTGCCCTACAGCTCCAGCCTGGGGTCCTCAGGTCTGGCAAGGCAGGCAGCTCGGCTGGGAAACGGTTTGCTCTCATCTTTGTCACTAAAGTTATCCGCCGAGGATGAACAATTGAATGCCACAAAAGCATTCTGAGCTCAAGTTTCTTCTAACTTTGGGCCTGCTCAAGTGAACTCCAAAACAGATGCTGTTTTTGCACATCTCGGTCAGCTTTTCAGTGATGTCACAGAGCAAGCA